ATACGTAATGCCTAAGGTTGACCCATTAGTCTAGGAATTCCCCCCATTTGGAAGGAGGAGGAGGGGAAGAACAGCCCCTCCCTCCCGGGATGCACCCACAGGGCCTGAAGTGCACCCAGCTGGGACAAGGTAATAGAGAAGGGGCAAGTTCTGCTCCTAGCCAGAAGGCAACAGTACATCATGGGTCAGACACCATCCCCATCCCCCAGTATTCAGGTGCTGCAGTTGTGGGAAGGGGCTGATGTAATTTTGGGTGTGGCCCACAAGATGGAGGGTGGAAAGACTGGACTCCAGCAAGTCCTCACCCACCCATCCACCCCCAAAAAGCCTGACTGGCTGGTGGAGAGCAGCACTCCACCCTGTACGATGGGGTGGGGAAAGGATATGTCCCTAGCAACTCCCCAATCCCAAAACTCCCCAGAGTTTTCCTGCCCCTGTGAAATCCTGGCTGAGAAGAGCTTGGGAGGGGAGAAGAGAGAGAGAACGAGGAGCAGTGCGTCCGGAAAGGTGGAGGGAGGAGATGGCGGGGGTCGGGTGTGGGGGGTGGTCGGGGCTCTCCTAGCGGTCCAGGCTTATAGTCCAGTGTTTGTTGGAGCCGGAGTCCTTTGTCGGCGCACCCTCGCTCTCGTTCTTGAGGTCCTGGAAGACCTGCGTGAAGAAGTGCGGGTCGGCGTTGATCTGCAGCATCTTGGCGCTCAGGCCCTGGATGATCGCGAGGCAGCGGTCCCAAAAGCGCTCCTTGTCGCCCTCCACCAGAAAGGGCTTGAGCGGGTAGGAGATCTCGTTGCCCATGTAGGAGTAGGCCAGGTAGAGGCAGGTGAGAAAGGAGGCCTGCAGCTCGGCCTGGCTGCCCACCTGGTCGCCCTGCAGCGCCTCGCGGCACAGCAGGTACACGAAGACCAGGTTGGCCGGCGTAATGAAGCCCTGGTCCTGCCAGCCCTGCAGCAGCAGCGAGCGGTCCACGCTGCGGAACCAGCCGATGACCTCGCCGGGACTCAGCTCCTTGAGGCGGTAGCAGCGGCGGCACACGAAGTCCCCCAGGCAGCGGAGCAGCTCGCCCGTCGAAGCCTGCACGATCACCCGCCGCGGGGAGCCGGGGGCGGCGGAGGAGGCGGGGGCGCGGTTGCCGGGCAGCGGCGGGGGTGGGGGCGGCGGTGGCTGCTTGCCGCCCTCCTGGGCGGAGGCGGGCACGGTGGGCACCGGCACGGCCAAGGGGCCCTGCTTGGTGCCGTCGGGCTGGGACTTGCGCGCGTTCTCGCGGTTGCGCTGCTGCACCAAGGGGTCGGGCGCGCCCGCGGAGCCCGGCTTGGGCGTCACCTTCTTGGCGTTCTTCTTCTTCTTGGCCGAGGCGGCCACCAGGCGCTTCCAGGTGAGCGCCGAGATCAGCACGCCCGGCCTCTTCAGGCGGCTCTCGCCCTTGCCGTGCGCCCGGCCCGGGGCCGCCTTCTCGGCCAGGACGCCGCCGCCCTTCCCCGGCGCGCTGGGCGACAGCGACAGCACCGTCCCCATCTTGGCTGCTGCTGCTGCTGCTGCTGCTGCGAGCGGCTGCTTGTCGCCTTGGCTCCGCCGCCCGAGCACTTACAGCTGCTGCCCAGGCGCGCCCGGCGCACCGGCCATGGGCTGGGGCGGGACGCAGCAGCTGCGCCGGCGCCCTGAGTCGGAGCTTGCGGAGAAACCTCGAGGAGCCGCAGTGAAGCGCGCTAGGACGGACGAGGACTCGGGTCAACCGGCGCTCAGCAGCTCCCCTCTCCGCACTGGCTGCCGCACTAGCCCCGCCGCGCCCCGCCCGGCCTCTCCCCGAGCAGCCAATCCCGTGCCGCGGCTCCCCCGCCTCTCAGCCAATCGCCGCGAGGCATAGACCCCCAGGTGCCTTCCTTTCCCGCTGAGGATGAGAGAGAGAGAGAGAGAGAGAGATCCTTGTGATGATGGTAAGAACAGCTGCACTTCCCGGATCCCAAAATGCAAGAGAAATAATATTGGGGAGGGGGAGCTTCCAAACAACAACAAAAGAGAGAGCTTGTTTCCCCCACAGTTCCTCCCGGGCCAGAGCTTAATCTGAGCCAGCTGAGCATGTGCAGAGTACCTTGTCCCTGAGCACCTACTTGTTTCTATGCAAGTTTGATCAGCAAGTAGGTTTACTGCCAGGAGTGTGTTTTACAGGCGGATATCAATCCTGGTGTCTCCCTATTAGGAGAAGAACTATTAGTCTGTCTCTTTTCCTCACTCCTCCACTAACTGCTTCGAGTTGATGCTTTGTATCTCTTAGGTCTGAGGTTGGCAACTTGCGGCCAGAGGGCCCCCATGTGTCCCCGATTTCAAAAGCTTTATGCAAGTGATCAGTTCAGGCCTCTGGCAACAGCAAGTTGCCCCTTGGCCAGCAGCCAGCTGGGCAGCAAGGAAGACAGAGTGGGAGGCAAAAAGAGAAAGTGGTGTGATGTCACCCACACACCCATGATTGTCTTCAGCTTGGCCCACAGTCAGCATGCGGCCCCTAACAGATTACCCCTGGAGATTACCCATGAGAGGTCCAGTAATGGGCCTTTCCTGCAGTGGCTCCCCACATGTGGAATGCTCTCCCCAGGGAGGCTTGCTTGGTGCCTTCATTGCATATCTTTAGGTGCCAGGTGAAATGTTTGTTTTTGTTTTTATTATGTATTTTGTGTTCTCATTTTGTATTTTTATGTTGTGAACCACCCTGTGACCTTCAGATGAAGGGCAGTATAGTAATTTAATTTAAATAAATAAATAAATAATAAGGCCTTCATGAGAAAATGGTTGACTACCCTGGCTTAGAAGACATTTCCTAAAGCAGGTGTGGGGAATCTTTGGCCCTCCATGTGTTGCTTAAATACAGCTCCTATCAGCCCCAGTAAGCATACCCAATGGCCAGGGTTCTCCACACCTGTCCTAAAGAATGCAAGGCCTAGTACCTTGCACTGAGACCAGAAGTCAGTACAGATTAGCCAAAATGGGTATCATACAAACTTTCCACCCAGCCCCTATCATGATTGATTCCATCCCTCTCATGATCTGACTGGCACCTGCAGTCTGCACTTACTGAAGCTTCCAAACTGTCTCCAAGGTGAGGCCCACACAGAACACTATACAGTAGACAATGCATGAATATTGGCAGCCTCAAAGAGCAGGGCTGGGTTCAGGAAGACAGTAAAACTGTGAAATCTAACACAAGAGGAACACTATCGTGTCCAGAGGCGATATTCTGACCTCCCCAAGGTCACCAAAGCTGCCCAACCACAGCAATGGTGTGTGGGTTCAATTTAAATGAACCCCAAGTCTGCCTCTCAACAGGAATTCAGAAGAACCAATGTTGCACCTGAATTGGCTGAGAAAGAAAAACTGTATGCCATTGATGGCACTTCCCAAATGTTGGACTATCTATGCATGTCAATCATATAGACCCTTGCAGGACTCTTTATAATAAAAATCCAAGGGGGTTAAGCAGAAGCCACTCTTTAAATCAGGGGTGAGATACCCTTTTTCAGTCCAAGGGTTACATTAGCTAATGGGCAACCTTCAAAGGTCAGCATTTCAGTGGTGGGCGTGGCCAGAACAAAAGTGGGAGGAGCAACAGGTGTAAAAGGCAGAAGTTTCCACATACAGTGGTACCTTGGTTCTCAAACTTAATCCATTCCGGAAGTCCGTTCCAAAACCAAAGCGTTTCAAAATCAAGGTGCCCTTTCCCATAGAGAGTAATGCAAAATGGATTAATCCGTTCCAGACTTTTAAAAACAACCCCGAAAACAGCAATTTAACATGAATTTTACTGTCTAACAAGACCATTGATCCATAAAATGAAAGCAATAAATAATGTACTGCAGTCACACAATCAATCAATCAGTAGCTGACCTGGGTTCCACACAGTCACACAAAAAAGCTGCAAAAACAAACACACAAAGTAAATAGCAAAAACAGACAGACCTCAGTGTAACACTCAAAACAGAAGTGTGGCACTCAAATCGGAAGCATAACACTCAAAATGGAAGTGTGGCACTCAAATTGGAAGTGTAACACTCAAAATGGAGCATGTTTGGCTTCCGAAAAATGTTCGCAAACTGGAACACTTACTTCCAGATTTGCAGTGTTTGGGTTCCATGTTGTTTGAGTACCAAGGCATTTGAGAACCAAGGTACCACTGTACACACATATAAAATTGTGGTTTTATGTTGTAACCGCCCTGAGACCTACAGATATAGGACAGTATACTACTACTACTAATAATAATAATAATAATACCCACCACCACCACACACACACACCAGATAAGCCAGAGGTGCTATCACAGTTCAAAGATGCATTTCAGCCAGGCAAAAATGCTAGAGAAGGTCACAGGGGAGGGCTGTTGATCTGTGTAGCCTGGGGAATGGGTGTGGCTTGTGAAAAGTCCTGGGGGCCAGACAGAAAAGCCTGGAGGGCTACATCCAAATCCAGATAGGAAGGAGTAGAACTGCAGTGGAAATCAATCCCTGAACTTTCCAATCCACCAAAGGATTGCACAAAGATTTAGGGGTCAAGAGTACCAAAAGCTGCTGAGAGGTCCGGCAAGGCCAACAAGCTCAAAGTCCCATGTTGATCTCCAGTCAAGATTGCCCATCAATGGCTGTGGCAGGAACACACTCGGATGTGTCTTGCTCACCCTGCAGCGAAGCAGCTGTAATGACTGTGGTAGATACTTGCACAGCGCCAGGCCTTCGCACAACAGCAAATGGGTGTTTGCTGATGACCTTACAACATGTTTTGGCCTGCCTTGTGTGTTTATCCTATGCTTTACCTTCTCAGTGGCTTTAACTGAGGCTAAGGTCTATAGTGTTCACACTCATATTGATGTCTGTTCCACTGCATACCCCAAGGATATTTGTTAATATTTGCTCAACAACCAATTTCTGAGAAAAAACATACAAGTCTGGGATTCATCAACCCAAGTAACAGAATTATCACTCTATCCATCTATGCTGTATACATGAGTACAGCAGTTTCTTTACCTCTTTTGCTGGAGAACATGGTAAGAAGGAAGTAGATGGTAATTATTCCCATTTCACAGGCTGAGATGTTTCACGGTGGTCTGTCTTATCACCTTCAGATTCAGGGAGACTCCCGAGATCATGGCACCTATGCAATACTGTACAAAAGGACCTATCATGGGAAAAATGAAATGCAAAGGATATGTTATTTTACTCTTCATTGGACCTACATAGGTTGGTGTGAGTGCATATGCTCCTTTGAGCTTCTCAAAACTCTTAATCAGATAAATGAAACCCATCTGATTAAAAGTGCTGTGAGAGTTTAAAAAAGAGCACACTCCTACACCAGCTTGATATTAATATAATTGTACCTACTTTACACCATGTATCCTTGGGATCAACATTAGAATAAGTGAATTACTGGGGTACAGGAGAGTATACAAATATTCTAACTCATTCTTCATAAACCAGAGACAGTACTGAAGTAAAGCACTTTAGGGGAATACTAAATGTACTAAGTCTTGAACCGGTTTAAACTGGTTAAAAGAATATGTTAGCATGTTTTGTTGGCTGAGAAAAACAAGATGGAACAGCTCAGATCTTATGATAAAGTTAGCAACAAAAAGAGGAAAGGAATTTGTAGGAGAGCCTCGGATGAGGAGGGGTTGTGGCCTCACTGGGTGACCCAGAGAAGGCCCCCTGACACAAGAAAAGGGAAAGTGCATTTGCTACAGATATTGCTCAATTCACAGTCAAGTGCCTCAGACAACACTTCACATTGTAGAGCCATTCCATCACCCCACCTTCATCCCACTTCTCACAAAGAGCAGTGGTGGTAAGCCTTTGTCTGAACTGTACTATTTCAAATTTTATTCACATGGCAGTTTACTACACAAACACATGAGATTCCTACAAATTAGGGAGAAGACAGGCAGACCTTCACCCTGACATCTAGATCTGCTCTTTTAACAAGGCCTATGCCTAGAGGTTCTTGCTTCAGGAAACTTATCCAGCTCACTGCCACTACTGGGACTGGGAGTTCTTTTCTCCCTTCTCCAGAAGCACCAGAATAATTCATGTATAAGCATGCTGACAACTCTCTCCCTCACCAATTAATCCAGACACAATTTCTCCTGTTCTAGTGTTTTTCATGCTTTCACAGGTGTTTTCCATCACACTGTAATTCTGTTTCTACTTACTTTGAAGCTCCATTGAAATCAGCAGGATTTACTGCTAAGTAAATGAGAAAAGACTTCTAATTGCATTCCAAATACAAGATCATGCACAACAATTTGAATCAAGGAAACAATCACCAGTTAGGTTTCTAAACCACACAAGTTAAAGACTATTCGTGTTTTTTGAGCAGGCTTCATCAAACCAAATGTTTGGGTTTTTTTGTTCTAACTGAGTTTATATCAGCCAATGGCACACAGCAGACACACAAAAGTGCAGCTCCCTAAAGACTTACTAGATTTATTATGGTGTTTGCTTTCTTGATTTACACATCACTTTATCAGGGATAAGATTGCCCTATCATTTCTTGGCAGGGCCTCTTGTGCCTTTAAAAGCTGCATTCAACAGGTGCTGCTTTTTTTCTCAGACAGTCATGCTGCTGCTACTTTGTGACATGAAAAATTGCACCTCTTGAGACCCTGGCAAGAAAAAAAGTGGCATTCCCTACAGGGGAATTGGGAAGACTGGGGAGGAGGGAGTTGTCTGGGCTGGAAGTGAATGACATCAATAAAATGCTGTTTGCATATGAGCTCTGTCTGAAACTGTTATCAGATCCTTGTCCTTCCCTAGTCTTAACTAACCATTTCAAAGGGAATGCAAATGCCTGTGTCTTGTGCCTTGGGTGCAATAAAGTAATGTTGCCTCTCTGTTTTTGTGGTTTTGTCAGGTTGCCCAGCACATAGGTTTTCCTATGCCTTATTTCAGAAAACAAGTAAGTCTTGCATTAAATTGATAAAAGCAATGCATCTACGCAGCATTCATTGTTCTTCTAACATACACACTCACCCCTCTAACCCTTCCCATGTTTTCTTAGCCCCAAATCCCATTGAGCTCAATGGTAGTTACTTCTTGGTTGCAGCACTGTAGCCTGATACTGGAGCAACCTTGCCCTTTAGTCCAGGGATGGAGAACCACTGGACCTCCAGATGTTGTTGGACTACAACTCCCATCTTCCATGACTACTGTCCATGCTAGCTAGGGCTGATGAGAGATAGGGCTGTTATAAGAAGAAGAAGAAACTGCTCTTTTTCCCTTATGGGTTACCAAAGAGCCCATATAGAGTCCTTATGTAGGTTTTTTATCGGTAGGAGAAAATAACAGAGGCCAACCAGAGAATATTGAGAAGCAAAGCAGCTAGTAAGCCTGATCTTTATTAAAGCTGTTGCAACAGGGCACTCCCCACACACGCAGGAAGGAGGAGGAGACCCAGAACATTGGTGTGCAAACTCTTGTATAGACATTTGAAATTGCCTCCCCTGTAGCTCAAGACATCCCCCCCATACATCATACATACATCACAGAAGGGGTGGTCTACAGCAGAAATCTGAGTGTGTTGTTTTTCTCCTGTCTGCCAGGATACCATTTGACCAATATTTTGTGATGATGACTACATAATTCCTGAATCCAGGTCCTGAATCCAGGTCACAGGCTCACCCTATTCATACACAGACACACCCTTAAGACAGGATTTGTGAACAAAGAGACAGTGGGGAGGCTTTTCCATTTCCTTCCTCCTTGCAGAGAAATATTTGAGGTGACTGAGTCAAAATGGCTTTAGGACTGTTTTGCTGTACTGTATCCAGACATGTGGTTTATATATTTATGTATGTGTTTGCCTTGTACAGTTATGAACATTTATTTTATATATATAAGACCTTAAAATTCCTATAACAGGGTGGTAGTCAACTAATGTGTTCTGTCAGTCCAATAATTTCCACTTGTGCAAAGGGACTTTGCTTCCCTCTCTTCTCCCTGTGAATGCCCCACACCCTACCCAAATCTGCTGCAAAGGGCTGGGGAAACCCCTAGAGCATATTTGGATGGTGGGGGAAGGAGGTGAGAACATTCCATTGCAAACAGAAAACCTTTTGCTGATGGGATGTTCGCAGAGTGCTGCTACACTTGGTACAATCCCTGGAACCCACCAACACAGGTTCCCCCACCCTTGTTTTAGTCAGTGGTAGAGCACAAAGAATGAGCCCAGCCCATTCTACAGTGGGATTGCAGACAGCAGAGAGACAGAGAGACAGAGAGATAGACAGACAGACATTCTCTCTCTCCTGCAGTCTGAAGAGAAACAGTCCATTCTTCCACTTCAGGACTGTTGCACCTCATCCTCTCCAGATTTTACAGCGTGTGCTACTGGTGACTCACTTCTGGTCACTAGCCTAGTTTCTGTGCTTAGCTTACTTACAACTTCCCTGCTTTGGAGATTTTACTTCCATCTTTTATGCTCTTCTATGGCAGATGGGGGAGTGGTAAACCAGGATAAAGCTCATAGTTGACATTTGAAGAGTTCTGCCAGTGGATATGGTTTGGATAAGCACTCCACTACCGCTGCTGGTTAGCATTTCTGAAGCTTTAGCTGAGTGCTGTATGCTGTGCTACAAAACACAGAAGTGTTGGTGTCACCCCATGGCTTGCAATTTACACAAGAAAGACAGGGCAGTGAGGGGTGGACCAGTGAGGAAGGCCTGTGGGTATGGAGGATCAAGCCACGTGAAGCCAGGGGCATCACAAAAGCCTGCCCTGGAGCTTTTTTCCTCCTCAGTGTTCCTGCTTGGAATTGTAGAGGTGTGTGTGCGTGCGCGCGTGTGTGCGTGCATGTGTATCAGAGACAGAGCGAGAGAAGCATCTGCAAAATGCACTGCAGAGCCCTAGAGATAAGCTATTTCTGTGCTTCCCCTGGTGTGCTCAGCCCTAGAAGCCACTGATGTGTATGTTATGAAGGGCAGCTCGAAGAAAAGGGAGCATGGGGAATGGGAAGGCAACCAAGCTGTACCTCTGGGTGGCAACCAGCATGAAGCGGAGGAGCAAGACTTTCAGATGCAAGAGAAGGATGATTGAATTCTTGCCTGCAGCGCCAACATACAGTATACACAGGAGGGGACAGTGTGTTGGCACAGAGGCCGTGTCTCCCAGCCTTTGCCTAGTGACCAACAATTAGCTTTCACGGGTGTTTGTTTCTCCAGCTAAGGGAATACCTTCCACATTGTCAGGACCAAAAAGTCTGAGTCTCTTTGCACCTCACATGGAAGCCAGAGGCTGTTGGAATGAATAATGCACCTTCTTTCTCTGCTTTCAGTGTCTCATGCAAAGGGAGACTTTGTGAAGGGAGAATCCATGTGCTCTTGTTGTGGATATATATCTCCCTCCATGTGTACATATGTAAATGTGAAAGTTATCCCTTTGCACCAGGCGTCAGAAGGGTGAAACGGGGAGTGTGGCTCACTTGCACATCCCTTGCTTCGGCCTCACATGTGAGGCCACTTGCAGACACCCACAGGAGCAAAGTGGGTGTAACTCCTGCCACCCCTATGTCAAGTTGCATAGTTACTAGTCACAATGATTATATTCTATCTATACTGACAGAGGCAATATGTCTCGGAATGCTTATTTTTAACAGGTAAATTTGATTGATTGATTGAATCAAGTGAGTTTGCCAAAGGACTGCATAGTCCTCTTTGAGGGGGCATGGGGAAAGAGGAAATCTGCTTCATCCATCCATATACTCTCCAAAATTACAAACCTTATTGTAGCCTTCATAGGTATTGCTCTTAGAAGCTTGTGGGATGCTGATTTGGTTAAGACTGGGGGAACTCAGGATGTGAGGCTTGAGGGTTTCAAAACTCCCCCAAAACACACCTCATTTCCTATATTCAAGCATTTGTCCACTTTCAAAGCTTAATTTTCTTCCGTGTCAATATTTCAGTGGCTTGAACTAACTGCTACTTTCTCTTTGGAGCCCTTTAGTGTCCATGAGGCTTTATGGCTTTAGGCACTTTCCCCATGAAATTATTACTGTAATATCCTTCAGTTCCTATCATCCCTGACTGTTACAACACCTGCAGCATGTTAGCCCCCTTGCAAAATTTAAGTGCCTTACCGCACTACCAGTGCTATCGATGGCTACCAGCTACCAGCTTTCACTCTTGTAGG